GCGTTTAAAACCATATGTTACATGTTTCAAATAACATCAAAAAGGATATATTTTAAAATATTACATGTTAAAAGAAGGATTAATGAGTCAAACTTAGATGAAAATATCATAGAAAAACCACATCTTTTGCTTCTTAATATAGAATCTAATTCTAGTAGTGAGTTTGTGGAATCTTGGATGAAGAAGGTCTCCAAGTTGATGAAGTTTATAATTAGAACTTAATGTCTTAACCAGAGATCCAAAATTACTTTTATAACTCATTGAAAAATTGAAAGATCCTTATATGAGACTTCAATATCTTGGTGAGCTTAATGAACAGGTTAGACAATCTCATCTAAACTTCAGGGTTCAAACTGAACCCTCTTATAATCTTAAAAATATTTTTAAATAGTTTTATTACCTAAAAGAGTTAACCAAACTAACCTTATAAAAAAAATTCAAAATCTTAAATATCAATAAAAGACAAAGTATGATTTGATATTATCTTTAACAATAAAAAAACCCTTAATAATTATTCACATAACGAACTTGCTAACCTTAAACAAAAAAAATAAAAAACCTATAAAGGATAAACTTAATACTTGTATCGTAAAAGAAACTTTCTTGTTCCAGTAATGAAAATCATAGCTCAAAAAACAATCATTAAAATCATTATTATTGTTCATGACAAATATACTGGATACCATTTTTTTTTATATTGGTATTGATTTAAATTTCATCCAATAAAAGTTTATCTTTGCAAAATATTATAAAAATATCTTACTAGGTCTTAAATCAGCTAATGGCCAGAGTCTTTAGATTCAATACAAACTTTTCAACTCTAAAGTTAGTAGCCAATAAGTTGATTTTCAAACATCATTCTTGCTAAAAAAATTATTAGGTAAAAGGTTATTTTGGGAGCCCTGTTTATTAACCTTATCAAATCATTTTTTATTGATGATAATTTAGGAGCTGAGGTTAGACTTTATTTTGTTCAAATAACACAAATTAAAAACTTTAATTTACTAAAAAAACATTTATGTTAAAAAAGCAGTAGGAATTAATTAGTTGATTAGGATTGAAAATATTGATATACAACATCTAAATGAAGAAAATTATTTTAGAAGAATTGAAGAACTATTATCCGAACCTATTTAACAAAAATAGGATTAAACATATCAAATTAAAGATAGAATCATTAATTTATTTAAAGACAACAACATCTTTTTAGCATATAAAACAACATATAGTAGATCTATCAAATGAGAAAATATTTGATTAAAAATTAATTATAAAGCCAAACCTATTTAGATGAACTTAGAATTAGAAAACCATTATAGAAAATAGATCCAAGATTCATTATAAAATTAATCACTAGGACTAGGTCTCTTTAGATTTGTATAGTCTTATATATTACTAAAAATGCTAAAAAAAAAAAGAGTTTCATGTTTGGTTATCAATTATAAATCTCTTAACGAGGTTTTAAAATGCATTTGTTATCCTATTCTAAATCAAAAAGATCTACTTCAACATCTTATTAAAGAAAAAAATTAAAATTTGATATAAAATTTTAATTTTGTTAAATTCAAATTAAAAAAGAAGATCAATACAAAATAACTTTCATAATACCTTCTAGTCAATATGAGTGGAATATTATGTCCTAAACTTCAATCATAATCTTAACCTTATCTGTAAATTTTTGTATAATAGACTTAAAAAAAATAATTTATCATGGTTTAGCTAATATAATTTAATGATTTAACAAATCAAAAAACAAGTAAATGAATACCCTTATCTCTATATAGCCAACCTGGAATTTTTTTAAAATAGTTGAAAAACATGCCTTTAAATTTGGATATGATGGAATTCTCAAACAATTGCATCACAATCATGATGAATTAATTCATTTTACTTCAAAACATTAGAATGATGCACATAAGATTATTCTATTATTGAAAAGGAAATTTTAGCCATTATGGTTAGTATTATAAAATCTCAAAGTGATCTAATCAATTCAAAAATTCTACTATGAAATAATTGTAAACTTGCAAAGGATATTTTTACAAAATACACATTCAAAAGATTGCATAAAAAATAGTCAAATAGCAAGTTATTTTAAGTATTTTTTTATGTTGATATTGAATTAATCTAAAGAGATTCAAATTTCTTCTCAGACTTCCTTGCAAGAAAATTTTTACAGGAAGACAACAACCTAAGACCACCTAAATAGAGAGATAAAGGCATAAAGGGATTTTTAAAAAAAAAAACAATAAAACAATTGAGAAATTAGGCTGAAATTATTTTTTTATGAAGATAAAATTTTTCTATTAGAAAACTTCTTAACCTTGTCTTTAAGCATGCCTAAAAATACTCGAACACCTTTTGACACAAGCAAAATAATATTTATTCATTTAGAAGCCCAAATGTTACTCCAACAATTAATGTCATTATTCACTTAAACAACAAAAAAAATCCTCTTAGGTGGAAAAACAAAGTTCCATCAAGCTTGGCAATCTTGAGCTTCATAAATCAATAATTGATCCAAATCTTTCAAGATCTAAAGAGGTGGTGGTTACCTCTCTTAAAACTGTTTTTCTAAAGAAAGAGGTGGTGATTTCAAATATCCCTCTAAGTAATTTCCAAATATTTTTCAAAACAAAATTTTCAAAACAAAATTTTCAAAAGAATTCACTAATAAAACATGGGTTTTACTGTGACTATTCAGGGATCATTGTCAAAAATATTTTTACTTTAACTATCATTTTAAAGCCTGGGATATTAATGAAGCCCACTATGAGAACATAAAAACCACCCAACATTCAATTACAGGGACCATCAATAAGCCTGTTTTAATACCTTCCTTGTTCAAAACAAACATTCCAGGCACTCCTCGATGTTTTATTGGAAACCAGGAACAAAAATTTAATTTCCAATCTGGTTCATCTGTTGGCGGTCCTGCTTTGGAGCTATTCCAGAAATTATTGGGATACCAATTTATGAAGGTTATCAGAACTTTGTCAACAAATTCCAACCAGTTCAAAAAAACAAAAATATTCTCCAAAACTTCTCCATTTTTGCTATAATTTTAGCAGTCCATGGATTTGAACAAAGATCTCAGCAGTTAAATCTGGAAATTAGCATTTTCTTTTAATGGAGGTGGACTGAAAGGCAAACAAATCATGGTGGGCATGGGTAATCATGGTGGGCATGGGTCTATCAAGTGGGTAATGAGCTTATCAAATGGGAAAGGTGACGAGCAAGTTATGAGAAATGAAGATAATGATAATAATATTGTGGATAAGGCTACGCAAGGCTTTGCAACAGCAGCTGAAGATGTCTACCGTCTGAGTCAACGATGCAGATGCCCAGTCAATAACCATCACTCCTGAAGATGATGATATAAATATCTCACGCGCTCAGAAGATCATGTTAAAATATCTCGGTCATTGTAAGCCACGACTTAGATAACACTCCACGAATAATAAGATGATGATATAATGCTGTCGAACGGGAAAGGTTACAAGAGCAAGTAATGTGAAGTTTACGATCTTTGAATTTAGAATGTTGTAATTCCATGTGAAACTGCATGGTTATTCTTTTTAGAATTCGTTTTGGCTTTGTATGGTTACAAGACTCGAAATAATTTAAAATTTAATTAATTTAATAGTTAAATTCATCTAAATAAAATAAAAAATGATCAAATCCAGTCGATGATTTTTTTTTAAATATATTTTTGTAACTAAAAATCCTTTTTTCATATTTTTATTTGATTATTTATAATTTTTTAGATTTATTATATAAATATATATAAAAAATATTTTTAGTTTTTCAAGCTGATTTGATTATTTATAATTTTTTAGATTTACTATATAAATATATAAAAAAAATATTTTTAGTTTTTCGAGATAAAAAATATTTTTAATTTAAATATTTCAATTTAAAAAATAACACAATATATTTTTAATATGAAATAAAATATATTTTAAAATAATTTTTTAAAATTTATTATTTAAAATATGAATAGTCTATATTTACATAAATTATTTTTTGTTTTTTATATGAAATATTAAAATTTTAAATTATTTTTTTATTTTTTTAGAATTGATTTAGATTGATTCGGATCAACCCATGTAGTCCGAAACCCAACCCCTGACCGGATCAACCGGTTTAATAATTATGCTTTATGGTATCATTAAGTTTTTGAGTGTTTTTTTTAAATATATTTATCTTTGAAAAATTATTTTTAGAGTATTTTTAATGATTTTAATATTAATATTAAAATATAAAAAATATTATTTTAATATATTAAAAAAAAATACTTTAAAAAATCATATTTTACGACATTAACAAACAAAGTAACTCACATATTTATTTTATTTTATTTTATTTTTAATACATTTTTCTTGTAAAATAGACTACGGTGATGTGACCTGTGGAATAATAGCTTCAATGTGATTGATGTTCAAGTCCACTTATGACAGCCCACTGTTCTTGAATTCCTTGACATATTTTAATTTTAACAATGTCAAAAGAAAAATGATACGTTCACACAGAAGAAAAACAGAGGATGAGCACTATTAAATATTTCGTAAGAAATTATTATCTATTTTGATTGTGCAAATCGAACAAATGAAAAATGCTCTTATCATTAAAAGATGATGGCTTTACGTTATGAGTTAAGAAGATTTTGATCTGAGTTTTGTATTTTGGTTTGTTAATTCCCGGAAAGTGGACACAATAGCATGCATATAGCCCAAGAATTAAGGTGTTATCGCAGTCCAACCGGTATTAGCTTGAACAGCCGATCTATGCAGGGAAAGGTGCTAAAGCACACAGCAGCAGCAGGCATGACGCTTCCAAAGTTTTTTGTGTACTAGATCATTGTGAATCTTGGACACCATGCCTCTCATGCCCTCCATTCTTAGCAACTTTCTATGGGTAATGCATGGGACACATAAAACTAGCTTAACCCTCTCTCTCGTCTCCATCCAGCATCACTGTGAACGGGCAAATTGCTGGAGGACAGAAAAAGTAGATCCAAATTACTAATAATGGACAGTCAAAAACAACAAAGATTGGTTTCTAATAAAAGGGTTGACAACAACACAAATCCTAAACTATAGAAAGAAAAACCTAAAATCAACAGATCTTGGCATGAAAACAAGGAGTATGAAACGGACACCCCCCAAAATTCACAACCACAAATCTTACCCTTCACCTCCTACCTCCATCCCTCCCTTCTTTTATCCCAGCAAGCTGAAAACCATCCCATCTTTTCTTTTTGTGTATCCTTCTCTTCCCCTCCTCTATTTGGAAGGGCAGGGTGTCGGCGTATTTTAAAACCCTCTCTTGTGTTTGTTCCCATGCCCATAATGGGTTCTAAGTTCTGGCTGGTTTTCCTCATGTTGGCTACGGCCTTGGTTGTTGAGTCGACGACTTTTATGGATGATGCTGACCTCTGGGGCCTGTCCACTTTAGGCCATGACAATAACGGATTCGAATTCAGCACTGAGATGATGATGGATTCTGAGATCAATCACAGGTTGCTGGCTCAGAAGACAAGGTACATTAGCTATGGAGCCCTAAGGGCTAACTCGGTCCCCTGCAATCGTCGCGGGAGGTCTTACTACAACTGTAACAGGCGGCAAAGGGCTAATCCTTACAGACGTGGATGCAGCACCATCACAAGGTGCCGTCGGTACACTCATTAATCAATGAAGAGAATGATAACAGAAGAGAGAGCGCCATTATAGAAGAAAAGGGAAAGGATAGTTGCCCTTTGAGCATGCATCAATTTGGGATTCTTCGGTTGTCAATTTGTTAACTGCATTTCCTCCTCTAACGCTACGCTGCAGTTTAATATGGTATTTTAATTATGTCTTGTTATTTGTTGTCTGTGTTCGTCTTTCATATTTGATATTAAAGGTCTCTCGTTGCTTCTGTAATTGCAAGTCTGTGTCTCCTCTTCTTCTGATTCTGAGCTTTAAATGTAACTTTTGGAGGAAATGAAAGGCTAGTATTTTATGTAATTTTAATTTAATGAAAGTTTTGATTAGGCTTTTCTCTGCATTTCTCAACCAATAACATTTGCAAGTCCTGTATCAATTTAGAAGATATCCCTGATTGGCCTTGGAAGGAATCAGGACCAATGACTGTCATGATGTTCTGCCGCTAGACAACCGTGTGTGTCTGCATTCTTTATTCATTCAAGTTCTAGCAGATCCCAGCTAGTTTAGTCATCTCGTTTGTCTAATTCTAGTTGCATTCGTCGACAATCCATGTATATGACATCGACACGAGAAGTATACATAATTCATATCAGAATCTTTGTCCATAAATAGCAAATAGATTTGGACACATGTTACTTACCAAAAAAAAAAAGATTTGGACACATGTACATGATGATAATGATTATCAAGTAACTCCAAGGCCCAAGAGGTATGATGAAAAATCTTGTACTGTCCAAAAACAAAGAGGGGCTACCATGGCAGCTCCTTTCCCGGTCCAATTTAGCTGACAAATAACTAGAATTTTGTCTAAACAATCTAAAGAAGAAGAAAAAAGCAACTTCTTTTTGGAGCTCCAAATGGACTTAATATAAGACATGATAAAAATGAAGTGTTGAGAAAGGGAAGGCATTTGTTCTTTCATCCATCTTTTGGTAGTGGGAATAAGCGCATGCTCGCAATCTTTTCAGAATTGTTCTTCATGAACGGTTCTCATCGACCATTGACATTTGTCCATGGAATGGAATGGAACTTCCCCCTTTCCACCAAAATGCTTTATCATAATAATGTCTGGTTCTCCCTCCCTTCAGCCACACTAGCTAGACAAGTTTATTCTCTATTCAAATGAAAGTTGAAAAACTTGACATGCTTTTATATTTTAATTAATGCGCCTAACACTCAGCATTTGACCCGTGAATGACTAAATCGACTCCCACTCACGTGATTGATTGGATTGGAGCATGCCTTGTGGAAAAGATGCAAACAGAGGAGCAAATTGACAAGGGAAGGAAGATGATGACGATGATGATTAAGACGATGGTGATTGCTAGCAAAGCAAGGCCCAAGGAGGGGTCTCCACCCCAGACGGCGCACATGAAAGTTTCAAATTTAGCAATTAATGACCCGCCAACTGTAGGATGCAGAGAGTCTCAAAACCAAATTGTCCACGGAAAGAAACAAATGGTGTACAAGATAAAACAAGCGAAAACACAAGAGCCCACCGTTCACACCATGTTTTCTACCTTTCCCATTATTACTATCCTTTTTTTTTTTTCTTTCCTTTCATCATCACAAGTCCCACCACCATCCCTACCACCTTCACTTTCTCACGTCCCCATTCACCACAGTTACGGTCTTCTTCGAGTCAAAAAGCAAACCTAAAATCAAGTGTTAGATTCAAAGAAAGAGAAACCAACTGCCTTTGCATGGTTGCTTTTCCAGCAATTCTAGCGTTTGATTATCAAAGAAGCCCTCCAAACGTGGGAAAAATCACTCGGATGGGCCCTTAATTCCTTCCTTTCCCACAAAGTGGGCCCCGATATTTACTTGGATCCCAACAAAACGATCCCCTTCTCCTCTGGCTGAAATTCTACCGCTCTGTTCATTAACACCACTGATTACAGCATGGCTTCCTCCCTTAAGACCCTAATGGCATCCCCCACACCAAAGCAACAAGATTAAAAAATATCAACCATCCCTTAAAAAAACAGGGAGAATTTTTAACGGGATTGGTCAGATCCTTGTCCAAAAAGAACTCTCATGGGCGATAAAAAAACAGGGCAGCACATAACAGTGCCTTTAATGCAAGCACATCGAAACGCTATGCCCCTCCTGGGCATCCTTTTCCTCCACTCACGAGAAACTGAAAACAATAGGGGGTCAAGATTCCTTGCCCATTTATCCACTCTTTCTTCGACAGCACGTCCAAGGCGCTTTTGCCCATTCTATACACACAAAAAAACAAAAAACCCTTCCGCTTAATCCCTTCTCACCTCACTATTCAATCAACAACTGTTCTTACATAGCCTCTGAAAAGAGATATTGAACTACCGAGTTGGGTATCAGTCCCCATTCATTGTTGCATTTATTGAGAGAATGGAAAAAGGGACAGTCAGCGAGTGTCCTCTTCAAAATTCAAATTATAGCAGTCATCCTGCATTTCCTTTTAAGAATTGCTTGATAACATAATTAAATGAGTGAGAGCTAACCACCACTTGGCTCTTAAATTCACTAGATACTGTAACGTAACAAACTAGAAGTTAGAAAATTAACCAAATTTAAGTGTAAGTTCAATTATAATTTCTAATAATTGGCTTTGATTATTAGCAAGTTTACAACTACCCATTTATTGCAAAGTTAAACGTTACAAGTCCCTTCATCTTTTCTTTAAAAACTTTATTTTCTTTTTCTACATGCCCAACTTTCTCATCAACCAAACACTTCAATACAGTAACAAGAAAAGAAAAGGCCTAAATGAGATGGCGAGAACAAAAATAAAACAAGCATCGAAATATACAATTGAGGCAAAGATCCTCTCACTCTCTTCAAATATCCAACATTACAATTTTTTTTTTTGGGTCTAGTCTCATAATCATCACCACCTTAATCAACATCAATGGCAGCAACAATATATATAATTATATATAAAAATATTACACAAAAAAAGGACTAAAAATGACATTTATTACTATTACTTTTTATTTAGGATGAAGGATTAACAGAACCTGAAATTCTTGGTGAGGTAATAGGAAACAGAGGCAACAATCGGGGCTCCGTTTCTCTTGGTGAGGATCCGGGTGACGGGTGCAAGTAAAATCCTTTCTCTTTAATTGCTTTCTCCTCTGCATCAGTATCCATTGCCTCAGCCTTAACAACGTTATTGTTGTTGGTGGTGGAGGTGTTAATGGGACTAAAACTATTAGTATACTTTGCCGATCCGGATCGGTCAAACGGGTCGGGTATTAATGGAGTAACCGGGCTTAAAACAAGAGCAGGGAAATCGAGAATGCTTGGGGAGAGGATCTCTGGTTTTCTTGAAGAAAAACCTGAACTGGGTTGGGCAAAAATTGGATTTAAAGGGTTGATCTTGAGGTTCTTGAGAGAGTTTCTACGTTCATAAAGCTTGAACCCGGAAGATTGGTTCTTTTTGGGCATGGATTTAATTGGAGGGATGTTGTGGGTTTTAGGTAATGGGTCGACTTGTGAGGTGTTGGGGGTCGTCGTGGTGGTGGTGGTGGTGGTGGTGGTGCATGTAGGTTTGGGTTTGGGTGATCCAGTCAACATCTGGACTACTTGTTTGAAGGAAGAACTGTCAGCTTGGACAAAAGTTGTCGGGTATGGGGTAGGGGATTCGGATCTGGAAATGGGTTTGGGTGATGGAAGTGGTGGAGGGTGGTTAATATTGTTGTTGAGTGCAACATTATTTGTGGTGGCGGTGGTGGAGCTGGTGTTGCTGTTGCTGCTGCTGCTGTAGCCAGTTGGTGAAGGAAACAGAGACTGTGGGTTTTGATTATCTCGATGTCTTGGTGAGGTTTCCATTGATGTTTGTGGTGGTGTTGTTCTTGCTTTCTTTCTTGTTGCTCCCTTCAAGATATACAGAAATGAAGAGGACGAAAAGAAAAGGCCTTTTGAACTTGGGGGAAAGTAGAGATGTGTGAGAGAGAGAGAGAGAGAAGGGAGACTCTGTTACCTTGTTTGGTTTGGTAAGAAATGTTTTGGTGGGGACTCGGGACTTTGAAGTTTCCTCAGTGGTTTTACTTTCAACGCTGTTTGGGGACTCTGTCTTCACGCTCCAATTAAGGACACCAAAGTGTGATCGATCATCTTCGAATTGGGTGTTTAATGAGCCTTTTGACCCTAAAAATAACAAAGCTTTTTAGGTCTCCATTTAAAACAAATTTGATTATTTTTTAAGATTTTATTTTTAATATTAGTGTATTGAAATAATATAAAAAATAAATCAAAAATAATTTTTAACCTCAAATACCTACACACTCTTGAACATAACACATCACAGCCACCTCATCTACTTGTATGATAAAATTGTGATGTCCATTAACAACATTTAATTAAATCTTCAGGATTTCTAGGTAATTTATTACATATTCAAATTAACGAAATATGTAGTGATAAAGGAGTAATTTAACAGTCTTAAATTATTTTTAACCACTCTATTTATGTTAATGTTTTGTTCTAATTTAGAAAAGGTTAGCTTTTAAGTGATATATTGGAGACTGTATTGTGGTGTACTTTATTATGTTTAATTGCTTGCATTATGATGTAAAGCAAAACAAGTAAACGTTTCATGATAAACTATAGCATTGTGTTGTGAATAAATGTATTGCTGTGCTATTTAAAATAAAAATTATTGTAAAATATAAACTTATTATAAGATTTTCAATGACTGGATTAATTAAAATTCTAGTATTTACATTTCAAAGAGTGTAAAATTATAATACTTGAAATATTACTATAAATATTGAGATAGTTATACTTTATACATTATTTTCCCACTCGCAAAAGCTACAAGGCAAGAAAAGCAACTTTTCATTTTAAAAAATGTTTGCTTTCATGTTTTTTATAGCAACATAATATCATATAATATAAAATTATTTATCAAATACTTATTCAATATCTTTTATTTTTTTGCTTTAAAATAAAACATTAAAAATAGCAAAACAAGAATCCAAACATGATTGTAAGGCTCACCATACAACAATTATTAAAACACTTGAAATGCAATTTTTAGTATGTGTTTGATAACGTGGATATATAAAAATATATTTTTTGATTTTTTATTTATTTTTTATGTTAATATATTAAAATTATAAATAAATAAAATATTTAAAAATATTAAATCAAACTATAAACATGCTCTTAATAGTAAATATATAACCGGACTTTATATATATATATATATATATATATATATATATATATATATATAAATCATTGTATATATGTTTAAGTTGCAATGGAACACAGTTTTTCTCGCGCGAATATAATATTATCGTGGTATTATTTTTTAAAAATGTTTTTTTGTATTTTTTATTTTTAAAATTA